TACTAATCCTACTACTACTACTACTACTACTACTACGACGACGACTACTACTACTACTATCACAACGACTACTACTAGTACTACTACTACTACTACTACTACTACTACTACTACTGCTACCTACTACTACTGCGACGACGACGACGACTAATACTACTGGTCCGATGTTACTCCATCGTCATTTAATCGGTGCCGTAGTCGATATTCGTCCTTGGCGTTTTGTTGCTATGAATGCGGTTATTTAGCACTCGTTGCTCTCAGTGCCACTACGGGTCTCGTGGTTGTGAACGGCAACATCCAAATCATCATCATCATCATCAAAAACAAAACCAACAAAGTCACCCTCTTAGAGGCCGTGATCCATCCTCATATCCCAGACCCGAAACCCTAAACGCTAAATTGCCCTGCCACCATGCACCTCAGGTCATGGCTCGCCCATCAAGATGTAGCGCTGCAGCCTCGGAGACTTTTAGCTGACAGGCTCTAGGAATCAGGTCACGTAGTAAGTAGGGTGTAAGTACCGCAACGGGGCTGTAAGTGGATATAACCATAGCTACTTGACTTATAACCCTACTTACTGAGTTCTGGGCTTTGGGGGAGTAGGATGGGACTTGTAGGGCGTGATGAATTCAACTGCTGCAAGGTTTCGTGAAGGGTTCAAGGGTTTTGAGACCGGCTCTGTGGGTGCGGGATCTTCCATGAACCCCGTGGCCGTGGACGACGGAATTTGAAGGCTTCGGTTATCTTCGGTTCAGCTGGGCTAAGACGGAGGGCCCTGTGGCTCCGAGGTGTGAAGGGAAAAAGGGGTGTTGCCAAGAGCACGCTTCCTGTGAAGACTTCACTTCTTACTGGAAGGAACCTGTTTCAAACAGGCTTCCTAGCACTGCTGAGGCTGCCGCAGCTTCAGATGGCGAGGAAGCTTCAGCTCGAAGACCTAAACCCACGAGACGTCTGGGACGATCCGAACCTTGGATCCTCGATTGGAGTCGATCCTGGCAGCCTAGACCAGGAGCATCGCGCCACTGAGCCCACTGCGAACTTCGTGACCACAGCTTTCTCCACCCTGAGCAGCGCCGAAGTCTCTCTGCAATGCGCCCCCGTGTAAGTTTCTGGCAAATTGGTCCTGTCTGGCTGAAGACTGGCTGAACACCTGAGGCCCGCTGCCAATGCGACTGAATGCGGAGTGGTCGGATGAGGCAATTCCTGCAGGCAACGCTTCGGGATGCTTCGGGGCTATTCGCCAGGGTTCTCGTTTGGCAGAAACCGGAAGAAACGAGACATGATCGCCCCGAAACCGCAAACACACAGTGACACTCGTGATACAGGTTACACCCCTTCATGGCATCATCATGCCCATGGACGAAACTTCCAATGAGTTCGGTGACACAACCTGACCTCAAGGCCAGGTGCCAGAAGAACTGGGGCCGGGGCTCCAAACTAACTTCCAGCGGCACCGCCCCACCCGTCCGGATCATTTCTGCATCCTGGCACTTGGTGGGTCATGGTTGGTCTTGTTGCTACTCTGGGGAAAGTTTCTTAACTTCAACGATGTTAGTCTTATGGCCATGAGATGCTCCGCACTGTCCTCGCTCCTCCTGCAGTTCGTGCTGGCACTACTAATCCGAGGAGCATAGTAGTCTTCATCTTGCTGTCACGACGCTACCTTCGGACCACGAGCCCAGTTCAATCGGCCTCGGTCATGTTCATGGACTCGGCCTCGGTGTAGAGCGGCGGCCTCTCCTGCAAAGAGCCCAAAACGGCTGCTCAGATCGTCAAGGCTGAGACTGCTGAGGCTGCGGCGAAAGCTTCCGGCTTCGCAGCGGCGACGTCGCCGTCGGCAGAAACAAGCTGCGGCGACGGAGCAGGGCTTTGGACCTGGATAGGCCTCAAAGGCGAAGTTGGGGTCTCGCCGAGGACTCTTGGCGCTGTCGCCTCAACGTCCCGGGGCAATTGGAGTATCGTGGGCACTGCACTGGCTGTGCCCGTGCTCGGAGCTTCGACGACAGGTGCCTGGTGCACACCTGCACGGGCGTAAAGTCCTTGAAGCACCATTCGCACGAGGCCCTTGAGCGCGTGTGCCGCTTCCTGCGGAGCTTCTTGCTCTGAGCCCAGCTCCACAGGGCCCTCTGCAGGGCTGCAAGCAAGTGCCGTAGCTGCCAAGAGGCCCGGCTGCTCGGGCCGATTGTGATCGCTGGGCGCAGGCGTGCGCCGGAGGCGGTGCAGCTTCCACTTTAGCAACTGCCGCTCCTGGGCCGCCTGTTGCATCCGCTGCCGATGCCCTGCGGCGAGCGCTTCTCTTGCATCTTGCAGAGTGCGTGGAGAGGGTGGCTGCAAGACAGCTAAGGCCGTCTCCTCCTCACGTCTGCCCTCACTGTGCAGAAGCTCTGAGCGCTCTGCCACCTGCGCATCCAGAGCAGCCTTGTACTCTTGCTGTTTTTGCTGCTTCTGTCTAGCATCCTCCAAGTTAGCGGCAGCAGTGGTTGTAGCAGGAGGACCTTGTGGCGTGGAGGGACGATGGCTTTGAGCTTGAAGGCCCCGAAGTCGTTCCGACGTCCGCCTCCGAAACACTAGCTGATCCGTAAGCTCTTTAGCAGCTTCTGGGTCAGGCGGCCTGGAGCCGCCGTGTGCGGATACGAGCAGGCGGAAGCCGGAGCTCCCCATCGGGTTGGTTTCTTCATTCTGATCCACATGAAAATCTGATCTCGTGGATGCAAAGGCTCGTGCCTCGCGGCCGAAGCTGTCAAAACACCTGCCGCAAGAATAGACAGGGTATGAGGCCTCGTCACCTGGCTCGCTGCAATCCAGGATCCGCAACTTGTGGGGCAGCGTGGAAAGCGGCGCGTGGATGGAACTCAAGAAATCCGGGAACGTGGAGCCGCGGCTGGGGGAGTCGCTCTCGTCACCTCGCATCCGTGCGGTGAGGCTTTGCAACAGTGGCTGCAGCGACCGTTGCAGGATCCACAAGGGCACCAGGTCCATGGGATGTGCCGGCTCCAGTGATCCCCGCGGGCGGCTGCATGCCTGCCACCGCAGCGCGGACAGTTCGTGCGCGCGGACAAAGCCCAGCAAGCCGTCCAAGAGCTGTCCTTGAGACAGGGCCGACAGGGCCTGTGCCACTGGCTGCTTCGAGTGTTTCTGGCAGCCACAGAGAGCCAGCACTTCTTGCAGCTGTCGCAGCCACGGCTGCAGCCCTACCCAGAACTGCAGGAAGCTGC